GCTTCATATTCTCGTATGGATCAAAGGGATCATCGAAGATACTTGTCAGATGATATAGGACGTGCACTGCCAGTACCCTGTCCTGCATTTCTTGTGGATAGGCTTTCATAGCCCTCAAATATTGTACAGAATGTCCAAGGTAGTTTTTAAGAGGCCCGGGGTAAGCTATATCAATGGAAGCCTTGCCAATATTCTCAATCAACCTCATGTACTCTGTCAGAGAACCCTTGTGTGGTTCTTCCACGCTGATGATCATTTGCTTATCAAGGTCGTCCAGTTTTCTGTAGATTGGCGCCATTGTTTCTCCATCACCTCCGCCGAAATCCATAATGCGTACTGGAGACCGTATCTCTGATTGGTTTAGTATGTCCCAAAGTTTACTATCTATGTATTGACCGTGGAACTTTTTGTTGGCTTTGATCATTCTGGAAGTGCATAAAAAAGTAAATAGGGTATGTAACAAGTATAAAAACTCTCTAGCCCTAACAAACACAGACGCCATTTATTGTACCACTTGTAGAATTGTAGGCCTTTGAATGATCAGTAACCGTGGACTATTTTGAAGAACAATCTAATTTTTAGCACAGGGTTACAATTAAGGCGTATTCCCAATAAAACTACCGTTCTACGTTGATCGATCCACCTCCGAGGGGCTTCTTGCAGAATGCCATCATATGGACTGAATGACACCATTGTTATAATCATCAAAAATTCGCAACGCGATAAATTCAGTGCATAAACATTTTTGATTGGAAAGGATCAACTAAAGGATGCACCTACAGATCACAATATATAGAATAACGTAATTGCAAAAAGTACTAACACTCACCCTTCGCTTAAGGCACACCAAATTTTGTAGTACGCTTGTGATAAAGTAACCGATTGGAATTCTTCGAGCAGCTTATGTCGCATCTCGAGCTCTTCGGTAAATTCAGTCATTTTCTGCACAATCTATAAACAAACTCAAACAAATCCAACTCAAAACATCTCCTTTTTATTTTCACAACTAACAATAGCAACCCTTGTGATGTAACTGGTATGACAAATTGCTTGAACGCTTTCTGCAAATAAATGAGGTCACAAAGTCAAAATATTTTACTGCTTTATTCCACGCATGACGTGTGCTGCTTTATGGACAATTTCATCTTTCTAAAAAATGTCATTATGCCGAGTAAAATAACAATGTAAAGTAACGTTTTATCCCACGTGCATATACCAGGTATAATTATATAAGAAATAAATAAATAAAAGGTATCTAATTAATAGATTAACTGATTAATAAAGTCAGACTTATCACAAACACAGTGATTTTCTGCTTTTCGCAAGGTAGGTCAGTTTAGATAAATAATAAGTTTTGATGTGGAAGGATGAAATAACCAGTGAGTTAAGAGTTCTATGGTCTAACGTCAAAGAACATTTGAATGCCATTTTACTTTCCTCTTAAGCGGTACCGGTACGAAGTAATAGGTTTTAGCAACTGTAAAGATGAACAAAAATGTTTTATATATACTCTAATTAGTTTTCAAAACAATCCTGAATGAGGGACAAAACTTTTGACAATATATAATTATAAGAATTCCCGTTTTTTAGCGTGCCTGTTGCAAGTCTTTAATGCACTGTGCTTCCTATGTGTCCATTAAATATGTCATGTCTGTAACTAATTCAAAACATTTCTGAAGGGACCACTGGTCAAAATAAGATAAACAATTTGGAAAACATCCGTTTCAGACTAATAATGAGTACTTTAATGTCTATTTCACATGATGCATCAACATGTTATATTAAAGTATTCCAACGATGAATGGCGGCGTCTAGATGTTACACAATATTTCTAGACCAATAAATATGTATTGAAATATGGATGCCTGCTTCAAATGAATCACGACTGGATTTCTCAAACTACATTACCAAATAGAGAGAAGTACGGAGATCCAAGGCCGCCAACGTTCTGAGAGAGAGAGAGAGAGAGAGAGAGAGAGAGAGAGAGAGGGGGGGGGGGGGGTTGTTGAAGACAGAAATGATTATGATCCATAATTACATTCAGCATGAAGACCAGTCTCTTTCATTTTAAGCATTAAAATGAATTGTTTACCGTAGTTGTCGGCAAAATGACATGCACATCTTTCACTCTTGTTCTTCTTGATGGCTGATGCAACCATGCTTTTGAAATGTTAATACATGTATAAGACACGACACAGGTGCCGACTAATGCCATAATTATGTATTACAGAACAATTAATTTTGCAAATCAAGAAAATCGGTACGCAGTGGGCATCTTAAAATGAGAAAAAAAAAATTAAAATTAAAAATGAACAAAATTGAACACGACTCGACTTTTGATCCCACTATATATACTGAATTGACAAAAGCTGTTTTCACTGTGTGTATGTCTGCAGGTTAATTGTTAACATGTTGTTAAACTTATGTTCTGGCATACCGGCATGATGTTACTTCCACTAAACTTATTTCACGAACACTGCTGTTTATACACTGTACATGTGCAAGCTGCGAATGATCAATATGTTAATAAGGATTCCTGCGGGTGAAAAAATTATTAATACACAGTTAAAATGAACGGGGACAGGCTTTTGCAGGACAGATAGCAAAAACCCACAAACCACATTTCAAGCTATACACTGTATCAACCGTCATTTCAATGAGTTGTCGTATTCAGATTTATCATATTCCAGAAGAAAGGTCTAGCAGATCATTTCTCGGTCAAACTATATGTAATTCAATTTTGTATGGATTATGTGAACAGTGATCTTTGCCACTACAGTGAGGGGATGTGGTGCTTTTTAATAGAAACCTATTATTGCACCATTCAGAAAGACACAAATGAGACAGTTGTTCCAGTCAAGTAACGTTTTGAATTTTAGAACTAGTTGTTTGTAACATCTAGTATATTCTAAACTGCAACAGGACTGCCCTCTATTGGCAACAAGTACCAGTCGTATTAAGGTGCTAACCTCTATGTAGCGTATGGTATCCTATAAGTATTTTTCATTAAGTTTTGGAGCTTCAATTTTCCTGGTCAGGGAGTGTTACCCACATAACATTGTTCTTGGCAAGTAGACTGTATTTCAGAATCCTTAGAGTTAAAACCCAGTGAACAGCTCAGTAAACCCTGTTCAACCAGGAATATAAGTAAACAAAATGTTTTTTTATATCTTTGGTGTCTGATGTAAAGTTATGTTGCACTTTAGTCGAGTGATTTGATGTTTTAACCCTGTTTCTGAGTTTCTAAAATACTTACAAGGAGCAGCCTGACCCAAGCTTCTTTGCTGTAAAATTTGGCACTATCTGGTGTTTATAATTCGGTTAAGTGTATATAAATTTTGTTTAATCAGATAGTTTTAAATGGACAATTTAACTTTGCAAGTCAGCAGTAAAATGCTATAGCACGTATAATTGTAAGTCTTCTATAGCATTTATGCTAGAGATATGCTCCATCCTTTGTTGCGGGTTCATATTACATTAATTGTGCTGGCTGTTACAATTCTGCTTGGCGCAAATTGTGCTAGTGCGGATTTCTCAACTATGGCATTTTAAAAATATTTTAATGATAATTTAAGTTCCATATCTATTGTATTAAAGGACTTAGGTGTTTTATTTCATTTTATTTCAGTTTTAACCGTCATTAATGAGTGTACAATACTTGGTGCGGATTTCTCAACTATAGCATTTTAAAAATATTTAAATGATAATTTAAGTTCCATATCTATTGTATTAAAGGACTTAGGTGTTTTATTTTATTTTATTTCAGTTTTAACCATCATTGATGAGTGTACAATACTTGGTTGATAGGGAAGAGACAAACAATATATTATATATAGCAAGTCTTTTTACTCTCTTCCCAACACTACGTGTATTACATTTTTAAGGTACATATCTGTATTAAGAAATAATTAACGAGGCAGATTTATCTAGACATACGTGAGGTAGATTGACTGACCAGTCGAATTCCGAGAGACGATCAGAGGCAATGTTGTGAGGGGTGTGGTGCTTTTTTTTTATAGAAAGTGTTCATCAATGTAATGATTTTATTGCGTTGACGTCGAAAAGTTCTCCTGAGTGTTGTTTTTGGAGTAGCGATTCTTGTATTAGTTATAGTTATAGTCACACTTTTAAGTTGTTGATGTCCCACTTAACACATTTTATTCAAGTGTAATAAAGACATGCACAGTTAAGTGCTTAGCATTTTAATGGTACTCCATTTGAAAAAAGAGTAGCACATTTACGGGATTGTTGCCCCAAGACAAGTTTTCTTCAGTCATATAAATGCATCACTCACTCAATCTATCATTTCCTTGACCATTACATCGTCGGGGGGTGGGGGTGGAGAAGGAACATGCTGGCTGAGTAGGCAGTAATTCTCCTCCAGGCCGGGCTGTCGGTGGCCTGCGTTAGGAGCTGTTGCATATTCATTCTTGTCCAATCCTTCGCATTGTCGGACTAGGGACAGCTCAGGTTTTGCCTGCTCATGCATGATACCATGTAACCCAGGACCACCTGCCGCATGAGCTTGGAGAGGAGAGGGGCTCTGCCAGGCTGCCACAAGCCCACAAAGAGGACATCTGATCACTATCTCACACCAATGTTCAAAACAGCGAAATTGGCAATCAAAGCTGGACCATCTTATGCGCTCGAGCAAGGGGGTGGTGAATAAAACATGCAAAAATAAATAAATAAATAAATAAATAAATAAATAAATAAATAAATAAATAAATAAGGCTGGTTTAAGGCTGGTAAATTTTAAGATAAGTATTTCTCAGAAAAAAAAGTGAAAAAGGACATTTTTCAAAATTTAGGTCTTTATAATGCACCGATATCCCCTATTAAGTGCCTGAGCATTCAAATAATATCACCATTTGAAAAAAGGTTACACGTTTATATTGCAGACGCCCTAATTTCAGCGCCTGACTTTTTACGTGATTTGATTACTAAAGCTATGCTGGTATATGAATAAAGAGGTGTCTATTTTATGGATGATGATGTAAGCCATGGCTGCCTATACCAAAAACATGTCTGAGACGCCCGAGGAGATAGAGATGAGGCATAAGCTGCTTGAGGAATTCAAATCTGTCTCTTTTTCACAGGGGTACTGCAAATGGTTTGATATCTTTGAGAAAGGGTAAGCACCGGTAGAAACGTTTTAACGCATAACATAAAATTTGCACTCAGTGGCATTCTAAACACTTAACGAAGCAAAAGTAGGATTTTTGGGATGAAGAGTTTATAATAATAGAGCTTTCCCAGATATAGTTGAAGGGGTGTTTTGATTGTTGGTGTGGAAAAATTAACAATGGGCAGCACTTTGTCAGGGTAAAATGACAGCTGAGAGGGGAACCAATACTACAGTGTAGTACGCTGTAACCGGGGCCAATTCAGGGATATTTTCTGACAGTATTCCAAATTATCTTTGTTAGCTCATCATTTACTGTCCTATCTTCACCAACGCTCTATCTCTCTCTCTCTCACTCACACACATTTGAGCTTACTAATATACATTTAAATTTTAAATTTATTGAACAGAATGTACAGGGTTAATACTAAATACGGAATGATATTTTTGGAGGGTTAATTTTCTACAAAATATTTGTTTTCTCTCTTACTATTTTAAATCCGAAACTGAGGTGGCACTCCATGTGTGGCCAGGTGTGTCACCTAATTACCACACAACTGTCGAAACAATTGATTCATGCAGTTGCATGTTCTGTGGTCAGAAATGTGAGGGGTGGTCTTTTCGGCAATTTCTGCCCTTGTACATAAAACGCATGGGTTTGGTCAATCTTTGGAGTGTATTTCAAGAAGCAACAAAGGGATCGCAATGAAACTTGACAGATGCCTTAGAGAAGATATGGTTCGACAGCTAAGCAACGGGACTTTCTATGGGGTTCATAAACGGGGAGCCTTTGCCAGGCATTTCAATATTTATCAATATTTATCAGGGAACCGTTAGTAATGTCCCCTAGGGTGTCCTCATATTACAACAAGAAGACAGGATCGCCTTCATCTTAGACTGTGTTGTGCTGGTCGTACAAAGACAACCAGTGTCCTCAGAAGAGATTGGCAGAATGTCATTCAAACGCCCGTTTCAAAGTCTCTCGTGAACAAGAGATTACTGCAAGCCAGTTATTTTGCAAGAAGACCAGTACGGAGACCGCGGTTAACAGCAGGTCATGTACAGCGACGTCTGTAATGGGCTGGGGACCAAGTGCGTTTTGCAGCCAAACCACTGGAATCACATTGTTTTCATTAATGAGTCCAGATATGGAGATTTTAGGGTTGACGGTCGAATCCGTGTATGCCAGCGTGTGTGACAGGCATATGACGATGATCTTGTACTGCCTGGGGTGCAAGCAGGGGCTGGTGGTGTCTCTGTTTGGGGAGCATTTCATGTCGGTGCCCAGAACCAGTGGTTTTTTTAGAAGGCACCAGAACCTTAACCAGGGTTCCTGCAGAAACATTCTACAGCAAACAACACTTTCCTTTGTAAGAGCCAACTTCATGAACAACTTTGTGTACCAAGACGATTACGCACCCTCACATCGAGCTCGCAGAATCACTGCTTTTCTTCAAAACCAAGGGGTTCAGCAACTGCCCTGGCCTGCAAACTCCCCAGATATAAACCCAATCGAAAATCTGTGGGCGGAAGTAACTCGAAGCATAAATAGCTATGGTCATCAGGCGGTAAATCGTGATGAACTACGACAGGCAAATATCACTGCGTGAAATGATATCCCCATCCAAACTTTGGAAAACTTGTCAAAGGGTATGCCATAAAGTGTGAGGGCGCTGCAAGCGGCTGCTGGAGGTCTTACCCGCTATTGATTGCTTTTCATGATTTACTGTTATGAGTTCTTTGCCTGTGCAGCATATCACTGTCCGGAGGCTATCGTTTTCTTTAATATCTCAGCTGAAAGTTAAAACTGATATCAAACTGTTGATATCAAATTGTTGGTTTTCTGGGGGTGTTCTTTTCCTTTGAATGACATCTTTTGTCATATTTGAAATTATTGATCAAAATATCTCACAATGGAAGACTGGATATTTTTATCACTCAATGACATACTTTTTTAGATGAATAAAGCCAAACATTTTTAATGATGCTTAATGGTGAATTTAGTCATATCTAGTTCAGCTAACCTTTTTCTAATGGCTGACAAAACGCTAGTCAATTAAGAAAGAGAACTTCATGTGCAATGTAGATTAAATGATATTATTAGGAATACCACATTTTTAGAAAATGTGTTTATAACTTAAGGCTCATTAGATACATTGTAGAAGATTAAAATTAAAAACAAGATACCAAATGCGTTTCTTTGATTAATGATCTTGCCCTATTTATATGTTTTCTTTTATATACAGAGTAAATGAAGATATGAGGAGGAATGTCAATCAAAATTCTGAACTTATACTGTGGGAGATTTTGAACCTGTCAGAAGTTACTTCTCCGGTTCGTTTAATGGACTTCGGGGGAGGTAAAGGGGGGCCTATACAGGCTGTCTGCCGAAAAATGGAAAGTCTACACAAACAAATGATCATCAGTGTGGTAGAACCAAAAAAGGAATACCTTGATCAGTACAAAGTGTCCATTGACCGTATAAGCAACGCTTGTCTCGATATAACCTATTGCGGGCAATTTCAAGAATACTATGGGCAATCTATAGATGATCTGAGAGCCAAAAGAGCTTATCCACAACAATTGCAGGACAGAGCGTTAGCTGTACACGTCCTATACCATCTGACAAGTATCTTCCATGACCCCTATGATCCGTATGAGGATATGAAGCAAGCCGTTTTTGCAATGTATGCCATTCTTAAACCAGGAGGGCAGATGGTTATCGTAATGTGTAATCATGCTGATAATCTAATTGGAATTGCGCCTTTGAAGTGTTGTGAGATTCTCTCTCCAGAAAAGGTGGACAATTACAAGGAGATATATCAGGTTTGGCAAAAGCTTTTGTTTAGTGGTGCTATTGCGGATGTGATAAATGCGTCGTTCCCGATATTTAAGGCTACTTTCCAGCAGAAAAAAGTAGTCCACCACGTTGTTTTGCCGACTCTGGCAGAGGTTGGAGCCCTTGCAAGTGGAACCTCTTTTCTCGGCTTATGTGCAGACCAATCCCCGTTTGATCAACGTGTTGTCCAGTTCTGTATGGATTACGTGAAGAGTGACGGATACAAGCATGGTTTATACCTTGACAGTGAGGGGAAGTGGTGCTTTCCGATGGAAACGTATTATATAACTATCCAAAAAGTTGCAATTAATTAATGTGAAACAATCAATTAACTTTTTCATTTAAGCTCGTGGTCGAAGCAAGAAGAAAATATGATGTAATATATTTATACATCATTGAAGGAATGGACTTTGATAACAATATTACTTATAACTGTGCACGGCAACAGTGCTGTGTGACAACAAAGGGACATGGGTATCAAAATTTCAACATGGCGGCGGACTTGTGATTACGCTTTCTGCTTGGAATATGCATCTTATTTTGCTTTATATTAATAAAATTTGGAAAATGATTCATTAAACACATGAATATTATCAGGAAACGCTACTTTACAGAGTAGGGCAAGCACGCTGAGATCCTGAATGGGCGGTTGAACAGCGATGACATGAAATTGTCTCGCGTACGTTTCACGACAACAAGAGAGAACTGCATATAGCTCATTTAATTATCCTCACGTAATATTCGTGTGACTGGGCCATTACGTCACTAATGGAAATTTCCACCATGTACGCTAGGTCCCTGAGCCAAATACGAATGGGGGAACGATAGTTGTGGGTTAGCTTTTTGTGCGTTTCTGAAGGAATCGAAACTGGATTGGGTCATTACTTATGTGATTACTAGCTTAGATGACAGGATTTCCTAACAACTTGCTGTTTTATGAAAATCAGAGTTTATTTCAGGTATTTAAATCTCGAAATTGAATAATTGTGTAGTTCACGTGTATGAGAGATCATGCTTAGTACTGAAGTTGAAAAGGGAAGTAATGGTAACGCACAATTATCCGTTTTCTTCACTCACCGGAATTTGTGACAAATAACTTTTTTTTGCATTTCTCTAGTGTGTGTGCTTTAAATGATCCTTGAGATGACCAATAAACAAACAACAGTATTCTGAGGGCTTTCTTTTCCATAACGTACAGCTGTAAAGCAGACTGGTATGACTGTGTCAAAGACTTTTTAAAAGCGCTGAGAATTAAAAAGTTAAAAATACACAGTAATGTGTGGAATCACAAAATTGTTTCTTATGATAAGACAAATCCATCCCTTTACAGATAAAAGCACCCCATTTGTAATCCAACACATAGGAATATGTTGACAGACTTTCAAAGATGATAACCAATTATTGTTACCCAGTACTGTGGACGTGCACATGTTTTGCTACGGACTCCTTTACTGATGAGGCAAACCACATCAAGAATAATGCTTTGATCAGACAAATAACATCAAGTCTAACTAACACCTCAGTGTATATTACTTATGTGTGAAAAAAACGTTCTTAAACACATGTCACGCATATTCACAGAGATGAACATTTTCGTTTAGTCAAGTTCAACTAACAAAATATTGTCACAATTAAATTACGACACTATTATGAATATATGACAAAGTTAATTTCATGTGTCAACTGAAAGACAAAACAAGAAAGGTGACCGGAATATTAAAATTGAATGATTAAATAATTTTCGACTTAAAATATAAAGAACTGAACACGACTTGGCTATTGTGTTCTTTTGGGTTATGTGTAGACCAGTCTCCTTTCTTTCAACGTATTCTCCAGTTCTGCATTGGTTATGCGGAGTCAAGCATAGACTGTACCTTGACAGCGAAGGGATATGGAGCTTCCAGATGTTATCAGCTAACGAGACGCAACTGACAAAATTAAATTATATCTAAGAACTTTTTTGATATTGATTGCATGGACAAAGCACGAAAAGAATATAATCAAAATATACATATTTGGAGGAATAGGCTTATATAGCGATATAAGATGCAAAAACGGGCATGTAAATGCTTTGATGTTCTCGGAATCCGTTTCTGATGAGGCAATTTAACATGTAAGTAAATGTCAACGATTAAAAATGTACAGACTGTAACAAATTTGGAGGAATTGTTTGAATGAACTTTTTTATATTGATTGCATGGTCATGGAATTGTTTGAATGCTTTTGCAAAGAAATGAGGTCACGAAGTCAAACCGTTTCATACCTTAACCCATATGTATGATGTGTGTTGCAGGTGCTCGGTGACTGGTCCCTAGGCAGTGACATGCAAGTACTCGGGTTTGACCTCATAAATCACTTGTGTCTCATTACCATAGTTTTCCACTTAGATCACCAGGCCTGGTAGAGTTGGATGTGAACGTAGAGGTGCCAATTTAAGGACTGATAAGGAATATTTTAGTTTAGGTAAGAAAATCAATATATTTTACGTTTGGTGATTATGAACACGTAAATATCTCAACAACACGACTTTCCTTCAACGAAGATGGTTGTGTAAGAGAAGTATTGCTGTATGCTTTGAAAAAAGAATCACGCTTTTATAGTGCCCTCGATTCAGTTTCGGACTTGCCGCACCATTTGGGTGGCCAGTATAATATAGAGCATAGAATTGGCCTCAAAATGCACTGCTTGTCTTATTTTAAAGGTTTTTCCGGCTAGCTCTCCTTGTCACGAAGTGGAAGGTCACTAGAGTGAAGTATAAATGGAAAGGTGCCAAGTTTAGGCCTGCTGATAAATCATGGCCGACTATAAGGAAAAAATGAGTCAGTCTTCTGAGGAAGCGATGAGACTTAAGCTGCTTGAGGAATTCAAGTATGTTACCTGCTCCCAGGCGTACCATAAAATGTTTAATATTTTGAGGAAAGGGTATGTTAATGTATTAAGCATTAATCTATCAAAATATATGTAACTTACTTTTTATTATTATTATTATTATTAAGAATGTATAATTGAAGGTTAACCCAAATATACAAATCGATTGTGTTGAAGAATATAAATGGCGGGGGTTATATTTCACAGCCTAGCATTATTATTCCTTTAAGACATAAATAGACATTGAGTTCAAAGACACATTTACATTTTGTAATTCGTACTACTATATTTTCAGCATATATCGGTAGGATGGTGTAGTTGTTCGATGAGCATCTCGGTTGCAGCATTTAGTAATGATTCAGAATTAAGGGCATAAAGCGCTAAAGGGCAGTTAAATAAGATATTATATGCAGCCTTAAGAACCGAAAAGAAAACTTTATTCAGTTTCTAATCATGGCGAGGAGAAGAAAAAAATTACTTTTGTGGATAGATGAGCGTTACATGAAACTTTTGGGCATAATTTTGATTATCAAACTGCCATTGTTAGCCATACATTCATCTATATCCTTTGTTTATATTATATTATTTAGGGTGAAGGAAGGTATAAGGCGCAGTGTCAGCCAAACGTTAGATAACTTGCTCTGGAAAACGTTGAACCTATCAGATGTTCCTTCGCCGGTCCGCATCATGGATTTTGGTGGAGGTACAGGAGAGCTGAAGATGGCTATTTCTCAAAAGATGGAGATTCTTCACAAGGAGTTGATCATCAGCGTGGAAGAACCACACAAAGAGTATCTTGACCAGTACAGAATGTCTGTTAATTTCTGTCACCAATGCACGTCTCGATGTGACATATTCCGGGCCATTGCAAGACTACTATGGGCATTCTGTAGAAGCTCTGAGGGCAGTAAAAGCTTATCCGCAACAGTTGCAGGACAGGGTGTTAGCAGTGCATGTCCTGTACCATCTTACTAGTGTCTTCGATGATACCTTTGATCCATACGAGAATATGAAACAAGCCATCTCTGCAATGTATGCCATCTTAAAACCAGGAGGAGAGATGGTAATAGTTATGGATTGCATAAAGGACCATTTGTTCGAGACTGCCTCTCTTAAGTGTGCAGAGGTTTTGTTTCCCGCTACGTTTGAAAACCACAAGCGATTATATGAAATCTGGCAAAATATAGTGTATAATGGCGGCATTGTGGACATGTTGAATATGTCGTTTCCAACGTTTAAGGCCACAATGCAACATAATGAAGTTTCCTATCAGGCTGTTTTGCCAACCATTGCAGAGATAGGGGCCGCTATCTCAATATCTAGTCTAAGTGGGTTATGCGCAAACCAGTCCCCATTCGATCAACGTGTTGTCCAGTTCTGCGTGGATTATGTAATGACAGAAGGCTACAAGCATGGCCTGTACCTTGATAGTAAGGGGGCATGGTGCTTTCCATTGAAAACGTACTATATGAGTATAAAGAAAGAGGCAAATAAGTGATCTGTCAAAGTTGAATTAATACTTTATATTCAGAGGCTGGTCAATAAGTTGGCACCAACTTACTTAAATGTTCTAGTTATTCACAATGTACCTACCAGAATTTTGCGCTCAGTAGATCAACTGTTACTGATTGAAACCTGTAAAATGGGTCTTAAAACCTCTGCAGTCATCTCTTTATAGTCCTCTGGTAAAATGGAATGGAGTATGCTGCATGTACCAATTAAAATCCACTGAATTGAATCATCTAATAACTCTTAAAAAGGAGTATCTTTTAAGGAAAATTTATCCTAATTTGTTCTCCTAAATGACAGTTAGGGTGTATTTTTAACTATAATCTTAGTCTTTCTTAATTAAAAAAATACATATCTTGGTAATTGTGTTCTTGACTACTTGTTTTTTATGTAATGTCCACTGAATATTTTAATGGGTTTTAGACTGTTTAATGGAATGGTATGCCATTCTTAAAACAGGAGGGCAGACGGCATACCCACATAATCGATTAACCTGTGTATATCTATGTGAAAAGCAGTAAAAAAATTAACTCAACACTGCTGCCTATGTAAGGTAACAAAATATCTTAAGAAGTATCTTCTTAATCTAATCAGGGTGTTTTTTTCATATTCCATTTTGATGCCACTGATCATTGATCATCGAGGTATGGATAGCCAAAATCAACAAACTATATTTTTAAAAAGCATCTGTTGCTCTCATATGGCAAAGGACAATACTACCAGCCGTGGAAATTAAATTGAAATATTGCGCTATGAATAAAATGGATTTTTTTTTGTAAAAATGAAAATTGACCAATTGTTAGAGACAAATGCATATTTTTGGCAAGAAGTCTCCGGATAATTTGCCCTTGATTTTTGAGGGATATTTTAAGCTTAAAAAAGCACTCCCCCTAGACTTCTATAGCAAAGTCGAAGCAAAATAAGTGGTGGATCTTCTAATTTGTTCTTATAGGTACAAATAGATTTCAAATAAGAACAAATTAGAAGATCCACCACTTATTTTGCTTCGACTTCGAATGCACGTATTACATTGTTCGCCAAGCAGGTGGTGACTTGAATAACATTACTCGATTTTTCTTTCAACCCTTATACCAGTATTTATCATTTTGGCATATTACAACGAGGAACGCCAGCATTTCCGTTTGTCCTTTAAATGTTATTTCAGATATGGATTTTTAGCACATACGTCATATCATTTGCGTTACAAGGACTGCTGTTGTAAGCAGTGAAAATAAAGGGGGTCAGGCTTTGGGCTGAATTTGTTGAAGTTTGTTGAAAGATTGTGCAGAAAATGACTGAATATACCGACGAGCTCGAGATGCAACACAAGCTGCTCGAGGAATTCCAATCAGTTACTTTATCACAAGCGTACTACAAAATTTGGTGTGCCTTAAGCGAAGGGTGAGTATTAGTACTTTTTGCAGTTACGTTATTCCACATATTGTGATCTGTAAGTGCGGCCTTTGGTTCATCGCTTCATTCCCGACAGTGGAATTTGCATGAATGAGACCCTATGATCTAAAGAAAGATGTTTTTCACTGAATTTATCGCCTTCGAATTTTTTATGATTATAACCAAGGAGTCATTCAGTTAACCTTATTGCATGCAGCGAGAAGCCCCGTAAAATTGCAAAATACGGTAGTTTCATTGGGAATGAACCCTTATACCCCAATTACCCCTGTGCTAAACACAAGATTATTCTTCAAAATATCTGCAACCGATATGCTCATTGAACAACTACACCCACCTACCGATATATTCTGAAAATATAGTTGTAGCAATTACAAATGTCCAGAGGTCACAATTCTACAAGAGGTATGATAAATGACGTCTGTAATTGTTCCCGCTATAGTGTTTATATATATATATATATATATATATATATATATATATATATATATATATATATACCTTATTTACTTCTTCATGAACTTCCAGAATGAATGAAGGCAACATAAAGTTTCACGGCCAAAACATTGACAGTAAACTTTGGGACGTACTGAACCAATCGGAAATATGTTCACCAGTACGCATCATGGATTTCGGAGGAGGTGATGGAGAAACAATGGCGCCCATCTACAGAAAACTGGACGTCCTTAATAAGGAAATGATCATCAGCGTGGAAGAACCACATAAGGGTTCTCTGAGAGAGTACATAAAGTTGATTGAGAATATTGGCAAGGCTTCCATTGATATAGCTTACCCCGGGCCTCTTAAAAACTACCTTGGACATACTGTACAATATTTGAGGGCTTTGAAAGCCTATCCACAACAGCTGCAGGACAGGGTGCTGGCAGTCCACGTCCTATATCATCTGACAAGTATCTTCGATGAGCCCTTTGTTCCATACGAGAATATGAAGCAATCCATCTCAGCAATGTATGCCATTCTTAAACCCGGAGGGCAGATGGTTATAGTGTTAGATAAAAACGAAGATGATTTACTTGGAGCCGCGTCTCTGAAGTGTTCCGAGGTTCTTTTTCCACATAAGTTGAAAAACCACAAGTTGCTATTTGAAGTCTGGCATGATCTTCTTTTCACTGGTGGTATTGCTGACGTATTAAATGCGTCATTCCCGATGTTTAAGGCTACAATCCAGCTTGAGGAAGTAGTCCGCCAAGTTTTTTTGCCGACACTTGCAGAGGTTGGAACTGCTGTCTCTATAGGGTGTCTTATCGGGCTATGTGATGGACAGTCGCCATTCGATCAACGTATTCTCCAATCCTGCATGGATTACGTGAAGACTGACGGATACAAGCATGGCCTGTACCATGATAGTGGGGGAATGTGGTGCTTTCCTCTGAAAAACCATTATATTGCTATCAAGAAAGTCGTAAATACGTAATTTGATAATAATTTATGTTTATAAAAACATACATATACATGCCTGATATTTGGAGGAATAAGATTATACAGCAATACGGAAGACAGAAACTGAACTGCAGATGTAAATGTATTTGATGCGGTAAACTATATTCACTTTATTTAGCCGTTTTATTACCCAACAAAAATAGGCACACCTACCGGTACCTGTACTTTGCGATATTAATGTTTATATTACATATATATTCAGTTTCATGTAAAAAAACTCACGCCTTGACTGAAAAAGATAAAACAATATAAAAAAGAATGGAGGTGACATGCTCAAAGAGGGCAGACTTTATTCCATTATTCCAAGCAACCCACAGAAGAGCAGCTTTAACGCAGAATCTAGCTGGCATTTGACCTAACAAAAAGCTGATAATTTACCGAAATCCAGAGCACGTTTTGTCACCATGTTTAATTGGCAAAAATTGTTTCTACTGCATACCTTATGATACCAGTAGATTGCAATGTGAAATTAGTGTACTGACATCTGCATAATCGAACAGCCTATCTTAACATTACATCTACAGTACTTGGGAGGCAATTATTAAATTTATTTAACACTAATGTCTATGAATGTCTCTAACATTTGGTAGCAAAGTTATGCATATCTTGAAAACTGTCTTTGTGTGCTTATCATCCCCATTTTGGCCACATACATTCTAGCTAACCAGGAAGCTTTGATTCTCATTATCATTTCGATGTCACTGACCTCTGGGTCATCATAGTATGTGTGAGCGCCTTAAAATGACATCATCCGGTCCCGATTTCAACAAGGCTGGATAGGCTATCCTATGGATAACACTATCCATGGTATAAATCTCTTATCCTCTGGATTGTTATCCTCTGTATAAATCTGTGTCTCACAAAGGCTGGATAAACAGCATGATAGTTATCCAGTGGATAAAACATTTATCCAATACCATATTTGGAAAAATACATTCCCAGTTGGTTGCTATAAACATTGTAAAAGCCATGATAATTGCTAACAAAAGAAGTGATCTATACCATATTTGGAAAATATATTTGGAAAATATATTATGGGTAATTGTGCAAAATTGTTGGTAAATAATAACTTTTGCTGACTCGTCGCATCATAATTTTTAGGATGATGAGTCTTATTGAATTTTTGATATATAATTTTTATCCCTAAGGCCATAACATTTAATACAGGCAACAATTTGCTACATTGTTATTATTATTAAAACGATTAGGATAGAGGGGTTATATAATAAAAGCGGCCTTGTTTGGCCAAATCACGAACAATCAATACTCCTTGTTGCCTTCTTTCTTGCTATGAATGAGACCATAAAAGTTTGTGGTACACTGAGATGGAGGAGACATAAAGGATATTTTAGTGTCAGTGTCAAAAAACAGATCACATTGCGTTAGTTGTGCCTCATGCAATGTTTACAATTTGCATTGGAAGGGCAAGGTCATGACATACTTTCTAACAAAATGGCTGACTTGGCATGTTTGGCAGATTCTGTCAATATCAATTAAGAATTTCTTCATCGATTTAAAAGGTATGTTTTTAGTAAAATAAAAGACAATTGGTCTCTCACGGAGGTTGCATGGGTTCTTTTCGTAGCAGGCGCGATGTCAACCCTGATAAAGTCTGTTATGTAATAAATTGATTCAGTATCACTCAAAGCATCAAAAGCAAACACATATCTTCTATCATTCTCTTTCTAATCATTCTACGCCTGTGAAATCTCATAGGATTTACTCCCAAAGCAAGCAGGTTCGCCATTTTTGATGATTTAACAGCATGATAGCAGATTTATCCCACCTGTTTCGAGCAGACAACTTCATCCTCTGGATAAGCTGATTTATCTCCTGAATAACGCTATCCGTTGTTGACGAAACGCACTATCCTCTGGATAGCGCTATACAGAGGATAGCAGCCATTTTTATCCATAGGATAGCGCTATCCGGCCTTCATGAAACAGGTCCCTGTATTCCAAGCGTATCAACATTTTTGATGAACTAAGACACCTTATTTTTACTCTACACACTACATAGGCCTACATGTAGGCCCTACATGTTTTTATCTTTTCTGTGTCGTAGGAAAAGTCTATTCTATATGGCTCAGACACTTACATTGTGAAGTAGACTTGTACAAAATAGACGGACATCATTTTTAATGAACATGATTAGTGTACAAACTGCCCCTCTCCATTTTTTCAGGACTGTGGACTTAGGCAATGATGACGAAAAGGAAAATAACTTTTAGTATTTTAAAGATGAAAAATCTTTTCATATATTGAACGTATCCACTGCCTTTCTTTTTATTCGTTTTTTTTATGCCTATTAGTAAACACATGGGTCTTTTCAAATCAATCATATAATATTGGATTTTAGATTGATGCTTTTTTAAATTATAGAACCTGACTAGTTTTCATTTATGCGTAGTATATACTGCAGCAAAGGAATTATGTACAAGATCGCTTTGTTCCACGTGAATATGATTTAGCAGACATAAAAGAAACCCATGCGAAAAGTCTTGTTTTTAATATGATTTACATGACCACTCAATAAAAGCCTTTGATGTTTGTCTCATCAGACACGGAGTCAAAGCAAAACAAAACATTTACATGTCAGTTTCTATAAAAGACTGTTCCTCCGAATATGTATATATTACATCATCCTTTTTTGGTGGTTTGACTATGCTTTCAAAAACAAAGAAAACTCGTATCTTATATCAAATTACCCCATTGCGACTTCTTGGATAGTTTATACCATTGGTTTTCAATGGAACGCACCACGCCCCCTCACTATCAAAGCACAGGTCATGCTTGTGACATTCCTTCATTACGTAGCCCATGCAAAACTGGACAGCACGTTGATGGAATTGAGAGTTGTCTACCTTAATATTTATACACGCCTGTTCAATTAAATATTAGAATATATCTTCATTACAATAATTATCCATACTTTGGTCACACACAAATTACTCAATTGAGACCTTCTGGATAGTGATATAATAAGTATTCATTGGGAAGCACCACATCCCTTCACTGTCAAGATGCAGGGCATGCTTGTGTCCGTCATTCTTCACGTAATCCATGCAGAACTTGACGACACGTTGATCAAATGGGGACTGGTCTGCACAAAGCCCGTTAAAACAACCTATAGAGACAGCTGTTCCAACTTCTGCCAGGGTCGACAAAACAACGTGGTGGACAACTTCGTCAATCTGGAATGTAGCCTTAAACATTGGAAAAGACGCATTTATTACGTCAACAATGCCACCATTGAACAGAAGATCTTGCCATACTTCCAATGTCAACTTCAGATTTTTAAACCTTTTCGGAAAAAGAACCTCGAAACACTTCAGAGAAGCAGCTCCAAATATATTATCTGCATTGTTACATAACACTATAACCATCTGCCCTCCTGGTTTAAGAATGGCATACATTGCTGAGATGGCTTTCTTCATATTCTCGTATGGATCAAAGGGATCATCGAAGGGACTTGTCAGATGGTAAAGGACGTGTAGTGCTAGAACCCTGTCCTGTAGGTGTTGTGGATAAGCTTTCATGCCCCTCAGCTCTTCTACAGAATGATCATAGTAGTCTTGAAATGGCCCGGAATAGGTAATATCAATACAGGCCTTGATCGTGCTATCAATTAACTTTTTGTATTTTCTTAGAGAATCCTCGTGTGGTTCCTCCACGCTGATGATCATTTGCTTATTAAGGACGTCCAGTTTTCTGTAGATGGGCGCCATTGTTTCTCCTGTTCCCCCCCCAAAGTCCATGATGCGTACTGGTGAAGGTATCTCTGATTGAGTCAGTAGGCCCCACAATTTACTACGTGTGTCTATGTATTGGTCGGGGAACCTTCTACTGCCTTCGTTCATTCTGGAAGAAGAAGTGAAGTAGACACATACACAAACACCCACACAATCACAAATTTATACAAACATTTATATGTATCTTATAATTGGCAAATAACAACGATCAGAAATAACGTGATAACAACTTGATAGCAATTGGGTGGCATACCTGCAAACTAACGCGTAATATCTCCTCAACCCTTGTGTGTTCATGCTTCTTTTATCTAAACTTCACTGTCGGGGATTTTAGGATTAAAGATCGGTTAGATATTTCTATAGTCTTAATGATGTAATTGTAATACGAAAGGATGTCAAACATTTTGAGCTCCAAACATATCTCCATTCAGATAGTATTATGCTTCACACATTTGCATTTATGATGTCATAGATCATATATCTGGGTGTAATTTGTTCACTTTTTAGGGGAGACAAAAACCTCAAAAAAAAAAAAAAATTTAATGGAATTTTGCTTCATCAGGACAACGCCCCAGCTCACAACAGCCGAGTTACGATGAAGACTCTGGGAAAGTGTGGTACTGGACAGCTCTCTCGCTCTCCCTATTCTCCAGACCTATAGCCTCAGCGACTTCCACCTTTTTCCCAGGATATGAAAACAAACAAAGGATGAACTGACAACTGCTGTGGAGGGATGTATATGGGATCAAGATGCCACTGTTCTACCGATTGAATATCAATGATTGGCAAAATAGATGGCACAAGTGTGTGGTCCTGCATTGGGGACTAGTTGAAAAATAAAGAAGAATAAATCCAAATACCTTATTCTTTTTCGATAAAACTAAATAATATATGGGCTTCCTTTGTAGGTCTTCCAAGAAATATTAAAAACTCACCCTCTGCGACAGATAGGATACGCTTTGTAGAACGCCTGTGAGAAAGTAACCGATCGAAATTCCTCGAGAAGTTTATGTTGCATCTCAAGTTCTTTGACAGATTCGGTGATTTTTTGCACAAATGCAGCCATGGTAAATAAACTCAGCCCCCAATCTGACCCTTCAGCCACACAACTAACTCCAGCAATCCTTGTAATGCAAATGACATGTTTCTGCTGGAAACCCATATCGAAAATAACATATGTAGGCCAAAATCAAATGCTGGTGTTTCGCATTACAATATGAAAAGGATGATTGATGCTGGTATAGGCTTTTGAATAATAATAATTTGGCTTTTTTTCTCACCTATCCTATCAGAGATTATGCTTATCTGTATAATTTGATAATGCGATAACTGTGACATTGACATATTTTGTTCATTGTGGCATTTATAAGATGTCATCTGCACATTAAGTACTAAATTACATGTCCATCTATTTCGCTAATATAACACTTTAATGGCACCACTGTCACTTGCAATGTATCCGTAGAGGAATCAATTGGTTACGTATGTGCAAAAAGTGCACTCCTAAATTCCATATCGATGATATTCGCTCAGGACTATAAAATGCTGTGTAAGCCCCTTCTTCACACATTATGACTTATGTTCAGGTTTTTAACAGCAGATGATTTCATTTTAAAACGATCATACTTTGATGATCCCATGGTCAAAGGCCTCGTAATGAAATATGAAAAAATGGGGTCGTAGGCACTCAAGAAGATAATTCCCAAGCTATTTTGTTGTCTATAAGCAGCACTGATGGGTAAATTTATTTACCGATTTTCAAGTAGAATAGCATAGGTCGCTCGTTATGCTGGTAAGCCAGAACATAGGTCTTACAACATGTTAAAAATTTAAGCTGCTGGTATCACAGACTTATAGTGAAAAGAGCTTTAGTCTATAAAATATGGGGACAGTGCACCGAATTTTGCCAAAGTATTAACTTTTTCAAAAGTCAAAGAATCACAACTTGAGCTGTGTTCAATTCTGTATATTTTTAAGCTAGTTTAAAAAAATTCATTCGAACATCCCTTTGTTTTGTCTCTTTTTCAAGTCCGAAAAAAAAGCACTTTGTAAATAATATGTCAATATACTCCTACTACATGTAGTTACCAGACATATCTGCGAACACCGCTTCCCAGTTATTAGACTGTGATTCCTCGGTAGTGCCACCAACTGCATATGTAAATTTAAAGGGATAAGCTTTCACACTTGGGCAAATCATCGTAAGTATTACCCTATAGAAGACAGGTTGCTCTTTTTTAAATTTTATTGATAATCTTTCCTGACTCTGATGAACGCTCTACTGTTATTCACAAATACAAAGGAAAATATCGAACCAATGACGACGCTGTTTAATAGATGTCCAAACTTTAAAGCTTAAATCTAAATATAGTTAAGTAAATTAGTTGAACTATATTAAATTTCAAGCTGTTTCTTTTTAGTCTGTATTGTTTATTTCACATTCGTCTTAAAAAACTATAAATATGATAGAGTTTCTGTAAGCACTATATTCTCCACTTATACCATCGTGATTTATGCAGTAATAGTATCATGTGACCTTGCACTATTGTTTGCACATCTTAGGTTAAAGATAAGGAACTTGAACTGTGAAATCCATCAACATGCACATTATTATCGGAACAGAGACACTGCAACGACCGCTGAAATCGGGAAGCCATGGTTCACTTCCTTGTGGCGACAGGATTACTTTTCACAGCCTGGTCGGCTGTGTTCGCAGGTAAGAGAGCATTAATGAAGGTGCAACTCGCGAGATGGCGGAGGATGGATTTGGGTGAGGGGGGATCTGCCCCTTTAGACTCAACCGATGATTTAGGGTGGGGATTACTCGTCTGTAAACCATTGCAATGGACTGTTTCACTTTTAATAAAGGATGGCAGTGTACGTGTATATCCCATGGCCATTTTAAACAGGTATTCATGTATTGTAAATACATATTTGTAGTTTAAAGTGTATTTTCGATTTGCTGTTAAGTTGGCTAATGTTTACAGATATGGGGGTGGTGCATTGTTAATGATTAACTAGCCTGGCTGAGGTGATCGTTGCTAAGGAAGTATGGAGGATGGCAGTTCTACAATAGTAACTACACGTAGGGCTGAGGGCATCAGTATTAAGAAAGCATGCTTAAAAACTAAGACGAAACAGCTACATTTATGATTTCAACAGCACGCTTTTCACTTGCTCAATAAGTCTCTTTTTAATGAAGTTTGTATGCATTTATCGTGTCATACGATGGAGTCATTTCGGTCCGTGACATGCATACACTGTAACAAATAAAGCGGTAAATACTATGAACAAGGAACATTGATAAAAATACATAACCCTAAATGTCGTGCTATCCCCAAGTCTATAAATTATTTTAGTTGAATAGTTGGTTAACATGCAAGTTAATTATGTTTTGTGGCATGCTTGCGGTATGAATACTTACAAGTCACAATCCCTGTGGACGGGGGTAGAGGTAAGCCTACATGTAAGAGTGGGCGATTACTCGTACCCTTCTCTTCCCGCTTTCCACTGACATAATAGAGGGCTCAAAATAGAACCTTTTTCACAGACCCATCCTTATAATGCACATTGACCCAGAAGAAAATAAATAAATAAATAAATAAGATATTCATAGTTCTGTTAGTTGGTTCAGATAGCCATTGGTTTTAGTCTCCGCGGTTTTAAGAAAGGAATGATACATTTTTCATATATTTAACCTTAAAAACAGAGTCATGTTGTTTAACACTACAAAGACCTTATCTTTATAAGAAGGCCTCATGGATGATGACCTCGTTTCAGACGAGAAAACAGACCTGAATCAACTGATGATAGATTTCTACGACTGGCGCCTTCAAGACAACCCGCAGTTTGCGACAACTAGCGGTGAAAGTCAATACGGAAACCGACTAGAGAACCTGACCATTGAAGCGTATGAAGCAAGGAAGGTATTAGAACGTGTTCGAAATGATGTAGAATCAAATGCAAAAAGGTGTAGAAGCTTGATTCCAACAGTCCTTTTCTTTTTATTCGCTCTGTAGAAACGAAAAAGAAAGAAAGAAAATGAATGAGTACCCCCGTACCTGTAAATTTGTTAATTTACCATATGTTATTAAATATTNCTTTCTGACTAACAATTTAATGGAATTTTGCTTCATCAGGACAACGCCCCAGCTCACAACAGCCGAGTTACGATGAAGACTCTGGGAAAGTGTGGTAGTGGACAGCTCTCTCGCTCTCCCTAATCTCCAGACCTATAGCCTCAGCGACTTCCACCTTTTTCCCAGGATATGAAAACAAACAAAGGATGAACTGACAACTGCTGTGGAGGGATGTTTATGGGATCAAGATGCCACTGTTCTACCGATTGAATATCAATGATTGGCAAAATAGATGGCACAAGTGTGTGGTCCTGCATTGGGGACTAGTTGAAAAATAAAGAAGAATAAATCCAAATACCTTATTCTTTTTCGATAAAACTAAATAATATATGGGCTTCCTTTGTAGGTCTTCCAAGAAATATTAAAAACTCACCCTCTGCGACAGATAGGATACGCTTTGTAGAACGCCTGTGAGAAAGTAACCGATCGAAATCCCTCGAGTAGTTTATGTTGCATCTCAAGTTCTTTGACAGATTCGGTGATTTTTTGCACAAATGCAGCCATGGTAAATAAACTCAGCCCCCAATCTGACCCTTCAGCCACACAACTAACTCCAGCAATCCTTGTAATGCAAATGACATGTTTCTGCTGGAAACCCATATCGAAAATAACATATGTAGGCCAAAATCAAATGCTGGTGTTTCGCATTACAATATGAAAAGGATGATTGATGCTGGTATAGGCTTTTGAATAATAATAATTTGGCTTTTTTCTCACCTATCCTATCAGAGATTATGCTTATCTGTATAATTTGATAATGCGATAACTGTGACATTGACATATTTTGTTCATTGTGGCATTTATAAGATGTCATCTGCACATTAAGTACTAAATTACATGTCCATCTATTTCGCTAATATAACACTTTAATGGCACCACTGTCACTTGCAATGTATCCGTAGAGGAATCAATTGGTTACGTACATGTATGTGCAAAAAGTGCACTCCTAAATTCCATATCGATGATATTCGCTCAGAAGGACTATAAAATGCTGTGTAAGCCCCTTCTTCACACATTATGACTGATGTTCAGGTTTTTAACAGCAGATGATTTCATTTTAAAACGATCATACTTTGATGATCCCATGGTCAAAGGCCTCGTAATGTAATATGAAAAAATGGGGTCGTAGGCACTCAAGAAGATAATTCCCAAGCTATTTTGTTGTCCATAAGCAGCACTGATGGGTAAATTTATTTACCGATTTTCAAGTAGAATAGCATAGGTCGCTCGTTATGCTGGTAGGCCAGAACATAGGTCTTACAACATGTTAAAAATTTAAGCTGCTGGTATCACAGACTTATAGTGAAAAGAGCTTTAGTCTATAAAATATGGGGACAGTGCACCGAATTTTGCCAAAGTATTAACTTTTTCAAAAGTCAAAGAATCACAACTTGAGCTGTGTTCAATTCTGTATATTTTTAAGCTAGTTTAAAAAAATTCATTCGAACATCCCTTTGTTTTGTCTTTTTTTTAGTCTGAAAAAAAGCACTTTGTAAATAATATGGCAATATACTACTACATGTAGTTACCAGACATATCTGCGAACACCGCTTCCCAGTTATTAGACTGTGATTCCTCGGTAGTGCCACCAACTGCATATGTAAATTTAACGGGATAAGCTTTCACACTTGGGCAAATCATCGTAAGTATTACCCTATAGAAGACAGGTTGCTCTTTTTTAAATTTTATTGAGAATCTTTCCTGACTCTGATGAACGCTCTACTGTTATTCACAAATACAAAGGAAAATATAGAACCAATGACGACGCTGTTTAATAGATTTCCAAACTTTAAAGCTTAAATCTAAATATAGTTAAGTAAATTAGTTGAACTATATTAAATTTCAAGCTGTTTCTTTTTAGTCTGTATTGTTTATTTCACATTCGTCTTAAAAAACTATAAATATGATAGAGTTTCTGTAAGCACTATATTCTCCACTTATACCATCGTGATTTATGCAGTAATAGTATCATGTGACCTTGCACTATTGTTTGCACATCTTAGGTTAAAGATAAGGAACTTGAACTGTGAAATCCATCAACATGCACATTATTATCGGAACAGAGACACTGCAACGACCGCTGAAATCGGGAAGCCATGGTTCACTTCCTTGTGGCGACAGGATTACTTTTCACAGCCTGGTCGGCTGTGTTAGCAGGTAAGAGAGCATTAATGAAGGTGCAACTCGCGAGATGGCGGAGGTTGGATTTGGGTGAGGGGGGATCTGCCCCTTTAGACTCAACCGATGATTTAGGGTGGGGATTACTCGTCTGTAAACCATTGCAATGGACTGTTTCACTTTTAATAAAGGATGGCAGTGTACGTGTATATCCCATGGCCATTTTAAACAGGTATTCATGCATGTATTGTAAATACATATTTGTAGTTTAAAGTGTATTTTCGATTTGCTGTTAAGTTGGCTAATGTTTACAGATATGGGGGTGGTGTATTGTTAATGATTAACTAGCCTGGCTGAGGTGATCGTTGCTAAGGAAGTATGGAGGATGGCAGTTCTACAATAGTAACTACACGTAGGGCTGAGGGCATCAGTATTAAGAAAGCATGCTTAAAAACTAAGACGAAACAGCTACATTTATGATTTCAACAGCACGCTTTTCACTTGCTCAATAAGTCTCTTTTTAATGAAGTTTGTATGCATTTATCGTGTCATACGATGGAGTCATTTCGGTCCGTGACATGCATACACTGTAACAAATAAAGCGGTAAATACTATGAACAAGGAACATTGATAAAAATACATAACCCTAAATGTCGTGCTATCCCCAAGTCTATAAATTATTTTAGTTGAATAGTTGGTTAACATGCAAGTTAATTATGTTTTGTGGCATGCTTGCGGTATGAATACTTACAAGTCACAATCCCTGTGGACGGGGGTAGAGGTAAGCCTACATGTAAGAGTGGGCGATTACTCGTACCCTTCTCTTCCCGCTCTCCACTGACATAATAGAGGGCTCAAAATAGAACCTTTTTCACAGACCCATCCTTATAATTCACATTGACCCAGAAGAAAATAAATAAATAAATAAATAAGATATTCATAGTTCTGTTAGTTGGTTCAAATAGCCATTGGTTTTAGTCTCCGCGGTTTTAAGAAAGGAATGATACATTTTTCATATATTTAACCTTAAAAACAGAGTCATGTTGTTTAACACTACAAAGACCTTATCTTTATAAGAAGGCCTCATGGATGATGACCTCGTTTCAGACGAGAAAACAGACCTGAATCAACTGATGATAGATTTCTACGACTGGCGCCTTCAAGACAACCCGCAGTTTGCGACAACTAGCGGTGAAAGTCGATACGGAAACCGACTAGAGAACCTGACCATTGAAGCGTATGAAGCAAGGAAGGTATTAGAACGTGTTCGAAATGATGTAGAATCAAATGCAAAAAGGTGTAGAAGCTTGATTCCAACAGTCCTTTTCTTTTTATTCGCTCTGTAGAAACGAAAAAGAAAGAAAGAAAATGAATGAGTACCTGTAAATTTGTTAATTTACCATTTGTTATTAAATTTTATTACACTATGAAACATGAATGAGAGAA